AGCCGCTGGGTTCAAACTCTGGATTGAGGGGGCGCCCCGACACGTTCATTAACGCGCAGTCGTTACTGCTGCACGAAGTACTAACGAAACGCGCATGGTGTTAGCGACGCCTAATAGCACCGCGCGGCAGCGTATTCGCACAGCTCGCGCCGTGACGCTGCGCAGCGTGATTAGCCTACGGCGCATTACGGTGCGTCTCCAGGGAACCCGAAATCCGTGGGAGCTGCCCAAACCCGCCCGGACAATTCGTGGTCACACCTCCGCAGGCACCACGCTCCAGCACAGCCCCCGCCCCACGCGCCCCGTGCCCTGCTTCAGCCCAGCGGGGGGTTGTTGCTTAAGGAACCTTTTCGTGTCCCAAACCGAATCAAGCCCGAATCCATCGGTCATTTGAAAACCACGTGTGGCCCTGCTATGGGCAAGCATCCTCCACCGCCACCTCCACCCGGGGCTTCAGATGTTCCCAATTCGTTTGGTGGGCATCCTAGGGCAGGCCCAAGCTCGGGGGCTTGGGATGCCCCCAGCCGTCCGGCCGAGGGAGGAAGTGCCCCAGGTCGGTGTCAAGCCGTGCACAGCCCCGTGTCAAGGGCGGAGGCCGAGCGGGACCCGGGGGGCGGGGGGGGAGGCGCGGAGCGGCACCGACCTGCAGCGCGGCTACATTGTATCCAGCCCGGCGCGGCGCAGCCAATCAGCGCCCGCCTCCGCGCCGGATGGAACGTTGGCCGGAAGCGCGGGAGCCTTCGGAGCGGGCGCGGGATGGAGGCCGAGGAGCTGCGCGGCCTGGAGGACGGCTTCGAGCACCGCTTCGCCGCCGAGCTGGAGGTGCTGGCCGACCTGGAAGGTGCGCGGCGGCGGTGGCGGGAGCTGGGGGTCAACTCCGGCGGGCTCTGGCCGGGCTCTCTCTGGCCGGGGCAGGCGGAGGAGCTCGAGTCCGAGCCTGTCCCTGCAGCAGGACCGTGGTGACAGCGCCACCTGGGCAGGCTGCCTGGCAGGCGGGTTCCAGGCACGCCGGGTGGATGTGGCAGTGGCCACTGGGGTGCTTGCGTGCATGTATGTGGGCATAAGTGCACGTGCTCTATGTGTGTGCTCATGTCTGCATATGGATACATACATGTGTATGTGCACGCCTGTATGTGCAGGTGCGTGCGTGCATGCCTGTGTGTGCGTCCCTGTGTGTGCGCACATGTGCATGTGTGTATGTGCAGACGTACGTGTATGTGTGCTTGCATGTATATGTCCTTGCATGTGTACATCCATGTGTGCATACAGCAGAGGGCACCAAAAATGGTTCAGGGGCTGGGGCACAGGACTGGTGAGGAGAGGCTGAGGGAACTGGGCTGATTGAGTCTGCAGAAGAGGAGACGGAGGGGGATTGAATAGCAGCCTTCACCTCCCTGCCGGGGGGCTGCAAAGAGGATGGAGCCGGGCTGTTCTCAGTGGGGGCAGATGGCAGGACAAGGAGCAATGGGCTCACGTTGCAGCAAGGGAGGTTTAGGGTAGATATCAGGAAAAACTTTCTCACAAGGACGGTGGTGAAGCACTGGAACAGGTTACCCAGAATGGTGGCATCTCCATCCTTGGAGGTGTTTAAGACCCAGGTAGACAAAGCCTTGCTGGGATGATGTAGTTGGGGCTGGTCCTGCTTGGAGCAGGGCGTAGGACTAGATGTCACCTCCTGAGGTCCCTTCAACCTGAATTTTCTGTGATTCTGAAGTGTATGTACATGCATACATGTGTGTGAGAGCATGTAAGAAAAGTGGACTTTCAGGTCTCTGTCAGTATATTAGAAAGGGAATGGGTGGGTCGAGAGATCAGTCCCAATCACATCAATTGCAAAGTGGTGCTGATGAAGATACTGAGGCTCAGTAACGTATTGGCAGTAGCGCTGGGTTTTGTCTGTTCTTTACCTCTCCTGGCGGCTTCCAACCTTAGTCACAATCTTCTCTGAGCCGGTCTACGCGCTAAAAAAATTGCATTGCGTATTAATTTTTCCCCCATGTGTTTCCCACCAGAACTCAGGATGCATGTGTTTGGAGCAAGTGGTTGTGTTGGATTCTGCTTGCAGGTGCGTCGGTTTACACCAAACGCGTGGGTGGGACCAAGTCAGATGTGAAGAAAGGGCAGAATCAGTTCAAGTTGAGCTGAACTAAACCCCTGTTAGCACCAGGTTTAATGCTGTGGGTGCTGGCTGGCCGGAGTAGGTCTGGCGCAGCCACACCTGCCCTAACATCATGCTATTTCAGGGCTGTTCCTCCAGGCACAATGACTACATAATCCCATCGTGCCTTTTCTAACAAAAATCTTTTCCAGATGTCACATCTTGGATGCCAGCCCCCAAAATCTCCCAGTTCCGGAATAGAAAGCAGACATTCGAAGAAGCCATCTCAGCCGGGGACGTGGTTAAGGACTCCGCTGCTCCAAACTGCAAGACGCACGCGGACGAGGACTCTCGAAATGGGGCTGGCCCGGCAGGGAGAACGGGAGATGCGAAGGCTCAGAAGCGGGATCTGGATTGTAGCCGTCACGCTTTGGAGGAGGAGGCGGAGGAGTGTTCAGAGAGCTTGCTCCCTCAGGAGCCTGCATCTGGGCTCAGTATGTTTGTCAACCGATGTTATTCGTTAGCTCTATATATATGCCAGCAAGCATCTGCCTTCATTTGGACTCTACCTTTCATTGTGGTGTTAGCTTGGCTAACTTGGCAGATGGATATCACTATGGAAAGAGG